TTGGGGGGTTTGGAATTCGGGGGATTTGGAATTTGGGAGATTTGGAATTTGGGGGGGTTGGAATTCGGGGGATTTGGAATTTGGGAGATTTGGAATTTGGGGGGGTTGGAATTTAGGGATTTTGGAATTTGAAGGGGTTGAAATTCGGGGGATTTGGAATTCGGGGGATTTGGAATTTGGGAGATTTGGAATTTGGAGGATTTGGAATTTGGGGATTTGGGAATCTGGGGATTTGGGAATCTGGGGAATGTGGGAATTGGGGAATATGGGAATTGGGGAATATGGGAATTGGAAAGAGTGGGAATTGGGGAGTGTGGGAATTGGGGAGTGTGAGAATTGGGAAATGTGGGAATTGGGGAGTGTGAGAATTGAGAAAATGTGGGAATTTGGAAGCTTGAGAATTTGGTAATTCAGAAATTTGGAAATTTGGAAATCTAGAATACCTTTCTCCGTCTCACACGTTTCAAACTAGTAGTATTAAGCGTCCATATTTGTATCCGGAATTCCATTGCGTCACCTTTGTTGGAATTCCATTCTGACGATTTCGAGACTGGACCTCGACAACTATATTTGGTTGGTGCGAATAAACGATGTCCTTTCGCTTATCTTTCCCGTCAATGAATACGGTATTTCTAAACACGAAGACAATTCTTCTCGCTTTTTATTCTGACAACTCTAAATTCAGATACGACACTGAATTACAGAAGTATCCTCGATTAATGATTAATCACGTATGCCTCTGGCTGCACAAGATGGAGATTTATTTTTTATTAATGATACTATGAATATCATTAAATTTTTATTAATGATCCTCTGACATCCGTGTAATCATTTATCATTAATCTGAACACCGTCGCAAAAAACTATTGCACTGCTTTGTTAAATTACGAAAGGTATTTTTAACAATACCCTTTGTAATATTTTTGAAAGTATTTTAACTAAATTAAAATTATAAATAATATTAACAAATAACAACAATTATAAATAGTAAAATAACCGTGTAAAATTATTCATGTAACACAGCAATATCATAAGCATCAAAAACGGTATATAATCACGCAAAAATAGTTTCGAAAGTTCACAATCCCAAAAAATCACAAAATTATGGTACACCGAGCAATAAATCACTGGTGAACGGTATTAGTAACTCGGCGATCTTGATAAAAGCTCATCAATCTTACACATTCACAACATACTTGTTTAAATAACACAATGTTGCAAACATCTCGCGCAAAGCGTCAGACTTGAAACAAGCAATCGACTCTTCGCTGGCTACCCAATAAATCTTCTTTACAACGCCTCGAATTAGCATACACCCGCTAAACTTCAGTTCTACCTGCCCGTTAAACTCGTATAACAATGATAAAATAAATTGCAACCAGAATTCGACATCGTCTTGTTCAAACAGCACTTAACAAATCGAACTGAAAAAGTTCATTGTTAAACCACTACTTGAGAGCGTCAAACAAATATGAGATTGTAATATGCAGTATTTTATGACGTGTAATAATTTATACATTTAACTCTTAAATATTTGACATCATACTTCGTGATACTTCATGTATTAACATGAAGTGTATCGTTACAACATTAATTGTGTATGATACTTCATATATTTAATCCCAAAAAATAATGGTACTCTTGTATGTTTATATTGTAGAACATTAATGAACAGTGGGTCCATTATTATTTTTGATGAATGTTTTAATAATGTAAGTGAGTAAGATTTTCGTGAAAAGTGCACATTGGTTAATCTGTTATAACGTAGATGATAAAGGTTACAATAAATATTTGCTACTAAAGGGATTCCCGTGTAACCGATTGGACAGTTAATGGATTAAACGAATAAACGAAGAGGAAGCAAAGGAACGGTGAATCACAGAAGCGAGTTGGCGAGGATCGATCGATCGACTTCGCGCGCCGGAAAAGCACCAGTTTGCCCTTTAGCATCGCGAGGTAAAAGGTTACGAAGCGGTGTTCACCGTCGATAAATAACGTAACATGGCGTGACATGAGAAATTCCTCACGATCACCGACCTACGTTGAATTAGAAACGAACGAACGGTCTTCGGGCTCGATCCTAATACGTTTTGCCTAACGATAAACCGGCATCAGGATAAGTGCGCATGAGAAATCACCCTTTCAGAAGTCAAACCGATCAACTTGACTGCACTTTCTGTAATTTAATACCGACTAATTTTTCCGATATGTTTATTTATGCGTTTATTGCGTCACATATATACTGCCTTTATCTGCGAGCACACGATTATAGAGCTTTAGGAATTTGCGCGCGAAATGTTTTCACACACGTGTTGAAATCGCGCATGAAATCACGTATGATGTGCAGATCAACTTACGTGTTCCTTTTGCAAATGGATCAGAACGTAGATATGTACTTTTATTCCTTCTGCTATTTATTATGCTGTATATTATTTTTATCTTTCGTATATGATGAAACATGTATGCCTCTCTGTGTCAGTATGTGTATGTATTTGCATATGTAGATGGATGTGTACATATCTCACGTGTATCCTGCATGATACCTGCATTGCACCCCATCCAAGAAAGCCCAAAGGAAACTTCAATTCCATCCGACAAAAATTTTCGAGCAATTACAGTCCGAGACTATAAGCCATAATCGAGTACAATTTCGCAGAAAGCAACGATCACACACTTTTTTATTTCCGATAGAAGAAGGTAGTTGACAGTTTCACGGATAGAGTGATAATGTGCAAGAATCAATTTACTATAGCATGAAAATGATTTTGCGTCGTAGAGGAAGTCTTAGTTCCCCTACTCGAATAATTAAATGATTTAGCGCCCCATTATTTTGCCTACCTTCGTTATCAATCACCCTCGTGCAACAATTGTGCAAGTGGCAAGTAGAAATTATGGCACAACTCACGAACTACGGATAACTTATTATGCATATAGTAAATGCGATACAAATGACATCTGATAATTGGTGATAGACAGGCAGAGGATACCTACCCTACTACTCTAAGGTAGATCCTTTGTTCAGTAGAAACTGTTCAGTTCATTGCAATAAAATCTGACGCTGTTACAGAAGTAACGGTAAATATAACAGAACCATTTGGCAACTTTATTGCAGAAAGCAACGACTGACCGGCTACGCAGCAAAGCGAGAAAAAACAAGACAGATTAATCCGTTTGGCCAGTTTCATTTATCATTCCGGTCGATCCTCGTTCAGCGTGTTTACACGCGTTGCGCCGCGGAAGACGCTAATTCGACGGTGTTGGCCCGATCGAAAGAAAGGGTATCAGATCGTAAAACGATCTCGCCTTTGTGCGCGAGCATCGGGGCCCGGGACCGATCGCGGTGCACCGAAATCGCCTGACGGTCGTTCGGGGTACACGCTCCCTCCGGCTCGTTCGAGCACCTTTCAATTTGCTCTTGTTTCCTGAATGCGGTGAAGCGCAGAGGGAGGCCGCGACTTCCCGCCGCGTAGATAATTAGATCGCTACCAACCACCTCCACTTTCACGCATCTTCACCTCCGCGGTTGCGTACCCGCCGTTTCTCTCTTCGTGTACCGCCGCTTGTTCCGACGGCTCCTCTTCTTCCGCCGGTTCTCCCGCCGCTCCAAAGAGCAAAGCGAGCACGCTTCCCTCGCGGCGTGATGCCAATGGATGCTCGCGGTGCAACCGACTTCGTCCGCGAGCAACCGCGCCGAAGAGGAGCCGTTCCTCTCGGACGCGCGAACGTTCTCTGCTGCGCCCTTCTCGAGTCGAAATTTAAATTCCACTTTGAATTTATCGACTTTGCACGACGTACTTGGCATCTGAAATTTTGGGGTGAGAGTTTGAGACTGTAGTTTACTGATTTCAAAGTGTCAGCTTTGTAGTGGAGCTAAGGCCCAGCTGAGAATTGTGGAAATTCACTATTAACAAAATTATAACTATCACTGGGGTTGCAATATGAATTGTGAACATACATATATTTTCATTTAAAATCATTAATTTTTATAACTATTACAGCATTTTATTAAAAACATGTATTTTATTATCTAAAGTGCAATTGACTTTTATGATGGCAGGTCTACACCGATTATGCCATGATGACATCAGTGGTTATGACATTCCCGTTGCATTGTTGATGTAAGAGAAATTGAGCGTTACAAGCTCGGTTCTGCATACACTGTTGCATTGACATTTTACACCGACAAGATTTACAACCACCGACATAATCTTGCGACAACAATGTCGGCAGCTCCGACGTGTGGACATCAAAGATATACTTTCAGCTGGTAAGATTTATTTTGATTAATTAATTATATACTTTGTTTAATACACGCGGTATAAGTACATTACTAATATGATATACAGGTACTTTATTTATGTCCACGTTTCGTTAAATAAATATAAAATAAATGAATGTGTTTTTCATGATTTTCATAGTTAATATACAGACATAAAATTGACGCTTCCAATTGTCTCAATATTTGTAACTATAGTAAAGGAAAAATATTATGGAAAAATTTTTGCTACTTACTTTTTGCACCACCCTGTATTCGATCAAACGTCGCAGAAATTAATTCGTAATTCATACTGGAACATCCATCATGCAAATCATTCGATGCAAGCACGTCAGCTTCACAGTTCAATTTGCGCCCATCTCGAGTCGAAATTTAAATTCCACTTTGGATTTATCGACTTTGCGCGACGTACTTGGCATTTGAAATTTTGGGGTGGGAGATTGAGTCTGTGGTTTACTGATTTCGAAGTGCCAGCTTTGTGGAGCTGAAGCCGAGGTGAGAATGGTAGACCTAAGGAACCACAATAATACTTGAACCTCACCGAATCAGCGTTGACATACTTATATTAATACAAGTATATAGTAGAGTGAACGCTCAGGGCTTGTGATCAGTGGACGACCTTTGATGTCGATAGAACAATTTTAATTCCTAGCAAAAGGAACAAAGAAATCCTGCAGACTTCAACTCAGAAAAGTTTGAAAGGGTTCGCTCGGAAAAGGAATGCAAAATGTTCAAGATAACAAATACTTCTCAGCTGCTATTAAAATACAGAGTACAATATACATGTATACAGAATATAAAATATAGTCATATTTTTCACATCGGGATACAAGAGCAATATTCTGCTTTTTTTGACACCATACATTTATAGTAGTAATCTTTGCTTCGTAAGATTTTTAGTGGAGTCAGCCTCTCAGTGATAGCAGCACCGTGAAGTATGACATGCAGGTTTTAAAAATCTTCGAATCAAATCAAATAGATTATTCAATATTTACTGTTGTGGTATAATAATCATATTGCCAAGGTAATATAGTAATACATACTGATCCGAAATTTGTCATGTTCATTTCGTACAATCCGCCTGCTGACAGCGTGCATGGCCTACTACATCTAATTTGCATTATGTGAAGTACCTTTTCAAGTTTCACTGGTATCTGGTACCATTTCGAGAAGTATCTGTTACAATGTGAACACGTTCCCTTAGTTTGAAAATCATTTTAATACCCAACCTAAAGCTTCAAATCTTGTAAACTTACATATCGTTAATCAACTCTAAACCGCGATCTATCAGCACCTGGCCAGGTAAACTCAGAGCGTACAGATGGAATTGTTGTCCCAACAAAAACATAACGATTCTGAAAGCTTCCTCTGGTCTATCGATGTACATAACAGCCTAATTGATAAAAACATGTATATAATAACATCCAAATTATCGAAAATTAAATTCTTGTTCAACTTCTTACTTGAACGGCTGTTACAGTAATTCCAATCATGTTTAAACCAACTTGAAAGAGGTAACTGGTACGAGTACTTTCGTCCATGTACTCATAAAACCTTAACGTGTAAAAATGAATTTTGTGAGTTTTCTATTGTTTCTTATAATTTACTAGTAGATGTCACAGCTGACCTGATAGCTTCATAAAGCGTGATCACGCAGCGATTGAACTGAGCTTTAGTATTAATCGTGGGGATTGCTTTTGGACCCACCATCTCTGTAGCTTTCTTAACCTGATACCTGTATTTGTGAGAAATATTCGAATGAATAGCACTCTACATTTTTTAATATTATGAAATTTGCTGACTTTTACAATTTTAATTTTGAAGTACGTGTTATGGTTAAGCACGAAATATTTCAATACATATACAGGTTAAATTTACCCGCACAGAGCAAACAATCCGCAAGCATAGTGTATAATAACCATGTACAACGAATCCATAGTGGTTACAATCAGCACGATAATCAGCGAACACCAAGCTGAATGCAAGTACACGATGTAAAAGTGATCTCTCATGTCCACGATGTAATTCAGTTTAAACAGTGGCAGTTTCGTTCGAGTTTCATTTAACGGTGCAATGAAATCCAGAGCAGGAGAGGACAAAGGAATAGACACAAACAACACTAGAAATCCCCACAAACTCTCTGAAAAATAACTTGCAATTGACAATTGAAATTATGTTTATCACTAGGGTTGGAATTAAATCGACAATATAAAACGCGAACACTATTTTCATACGTAAACTTTGATAGCACTGTATTTAATTTTTAATTACTACAGTATAAAAACAATATTGTAATTGAATACACTACTATATATAACTTGTCTAATTACTACAACATGAGAATATTTTAAACTCCGTCCGTCATGTTACACACAGTGTAAAAATACAAAACTAGAAAATGTAGAAAATTCGACGTATTCATCCAGTAATGATACACGAAAAGATTAATTCCGTAACCTGTCAACATTATACAAATGCTGTACTAATTCCAATCTAAGTGTTCGATTAAAAAATTAGAAATATTTACTTCTGTATAAACTACCCATTCTACTTCCTTCTTCCGTGATTTCACTCAAGACGTGCAGTTCGCCATTGATCTCAGAGATCTCCCACAGCTCAGCCATACGATTAAATATATTCAGAAACTGTAAAGTAGATGTACTTGATGATTTCGAAAGATTTTTCTGCAAATCCCCTCAGTACACTACTTACCTTCTGCCTGTTGATATTGTGGTTTAATATTTTTATCATGATAACCAGCAAGGTGACGATTATCGGTACGCATTCCATCATGGTGTCCATGTCTCGTTCACGCATTGACAAGAAGAACTGCAACATCTACAGTCAAATTTACAATATTAAAAATACATGATATCAAATTTACTGATGACAGAAAACAGTTGCACTTGAAGATTGGTATTTTTTTAGGAGACTTACGGACGGAATTAGGAGGCTTGTTGTACTGAAAACTATTATGGTCACGTTAATTTTGTGAGATCGCTCCGTCTGATATGGATACTGTCCAAGAGGTATCAGATATTTTTTGAATACTTTGAAGTAAGGTAATTCAGAGGCTTTCTTGTGGGTTCCTTTGCTCTGCAACACTAAACGATTAAATATCAAATTATGTCACGACATGCACGATACAGTTTCAACAAATTTATTGATTAAGACACCATAAGGTTAATTCGAATTAATTTTTGTTATATTGTCATGGACGAGGCTGTAACAATATAGAAAGAGTTTCAACAGTTTGTAATACGGAGGGTTTATAAATTTAAACATTTCTATATTTCTAAAATTCTTAATTCGAAAATTTGGAACGTTCTAAAATTCCAAACTAAGAAGGTTCAATTTACACTGATGCTTTAATTCTCAGTTTACAGCAAAATACAAGCAGATAATGCAAACGCTTCATTATCCACACACTTTTATTTCCGTCCAAGTTGCCCGTTTCGCGAACAAAAATTGAATGAGTGAGACTCCGTGTACATGAAAATGATTTTATGTCATGGAAGTCTTGCTTCTCCTACTCGAGTAATTAAATAATTTAGCGCTTCATCAGTCTGTCGCCCTTCATATCGTATCGATCACTTGTGTAACTGGCAAGTAGTAATTATGGCAAAACTCGGAAACTATGTGTACGCATTTAGGCATGCAATAAATATGGTGTAAATGATGTATGGATGTGTGATAGACAAGAACCCGTAACAAGGTGCTTTTTGCCGGTAAATATTTCAGTGGTTAGCAGAGGTAATTGTTACAAGGACCCATAGTGTCCTTGATAACCCTTAGTACCTTCGATGAGTTCGTATTGAACGGTTCAGAATTTACTGATGGAGTAAAATAATACAGTGCTTGTGACATTTTACAAAAGATACTTGATACTTGTGTATATCAACATTCTTATTTATCAAAATGAATCTACTACAACAATTTTTAAACATCGACAACACAATTTGAAGAGGTAAGAATTGTTTAGATTAATCAATTGTATAGGTACCTTGGTTAAATGATGTGATGTAGGTGCGTTATTAAAACATCTTCACGATAATCTGAAGCCTTTAGCAGCAGTAAAACTTCCAAGTTTTCATCCATTTTTTTCATTGATATTTTTTGTTGAAATAACACCTGATGCTTATCAATTTTCTAATTGTTTCCATTTCGTATGAAGATCCTTAATGGAATGTTTCTTTGTCAAGTACCTTATTGCTAGACTACCTGTAACAGTACTGTTAATTAAACTCGTAAAAGTACACGAATGAACCTCGAACACAAAATCTGCATAATTCACATAATTGAGAGAATGTATCAACTAATTCTGTAAAGTTCCGACATCTTTTAAGATCTCCGAAAAAAATATCCTTCGAAGAACAACAGAATACTAGTATTCTTCTTGAATTTGCGCCAAATTTGAACCTATCTTCCTGACCAAGTACATAACCTATTAAGTCTCTTCGTTTCATCCTAATAAAAAAATGTCTTTCCTTCCAACGTTAGATTCCATCCCACAAAGATGAAATATCCTTCGAAGAACAACGGAGAAATACGAGCATTCCTCTGGCACAACCGACAAAGATTCTCTTTCAGCGGTTTCATGCTCCTACAATTGCGCGGTCTGGCCGTTCACAATGGCGGAGAAAATCAGGCATTCTCGGTCCGCGATGAAGACAGAACCCGAGTGTTGTCCACGCTGCTTCGTCTGGAACCAGGAGATTGATTCGTCCAATTACGCTAAACAATCCTCGAGATGACTCGATCGTCCATGGCATGGATCGTTCATTCGCGGGGTCGGCGTTTTAATAATTTCCGAATGTAAATTCGAAACCGCGGCGCGGAATAGGTATACCGGTGAACGAGACAACGGATTTATCGTGTTCACGACACCGAATCATTAGTCCCGGCTGGCTGATTAATGACACCGGTGGCCCCGCCCTTCTAAGGAGCCACCTCTTGATAAGATTAATGCGTCACCGTCCGCGTGCATCCGCTCGGTTTCATGCACGTGTCACCGATCTCGCTTTTGTAAATCTATTACCGGATGAGGTGGAAAGCGACGCGGCGATTAAACGCGCTCCTAACGAATGTTATTCCATTTTTTAAATTCGTGGAGCCGCTTGTCGTCGGCCTGCAACTGATTTATACCGGGAATTCTTCCGTTTTCAGATAGTCTTGAACCCTAGATTGAAAAAGCTCTGATTGATCGATTAACTGGGTTTTATTCGATGAACATGGCGAATGGCGTAATCGAATCTAGTTGCATGTAGTTGCAGGTTTAGAAAAGGTAATTTGAAGTGCTACATTTCCTGGGAGCATGGCTGTTATAGCGAGACATTTCCTAGGTTCTTGTGTTTCTCGATTTCTGAATTGCTAGATCTCTATGATGTTGTGTACGTATGTGTTCTTATGAGATGCGTATGAACATAAGCATAACATTTCTGTGTCCATCATATTTCTATACCCTGGGACACACCCTATGTATGAATACATATCGATAGCCCTACATTTTTATATTAACAAATATGGATTCCCATGTATAAATCTTGACATTCCCAAATATTTATGTCAGCAAACCCTTGCATCTCTAAATTCTTACATCCACAAACCCTTGCATTCTCAAGTCTCTACATCCCCAAATTCTTACATCACCAAATCTCAACATCCTCAAATCTCCACATCCCCAAATCTCCACATTCTTAAATCCCTACCCTGCCAAATTTCTACGTGACCAGTCCCCTACACTCCTAAATCTCCACACCCCAATTCCTACATCCACAGACTTCACATCGCCAAATTCCTAAAATCCCAGAGCCACTCAAATCACACATTTCAGATTATTCCTCTCATGTCTCATTCCTCGAAAGCTTTATTGAAGCTACAGCATGAAATTTTGTTGACTCTTCGTCGTCTGGTACAATTTAATCGGTATTTTATGAAGCATATCTTTTTCGACAGTTTAAAGGATTGTCCCCAGAGGTTTGACATTGCTTTGACCCCAGATTTTACAAGGTCCATCCAGCTGTAACTAAAATAAAGAGTATATTACCGCAGACTTGAACCTCATATTACATACAATTTCGAAAAATAAATCATTGCCAGAAACTTATGAAAATTATTAGTGTTGCCTTAAATAACGAAGGTAGTACATCTTTGAAAAAATACCTTAGATGAAATGAAGTTTAACCTTTCAGCGTAGAAAACATTGAGTGACATGCACATAGCACTTTGAGCGACAAACGTTCGCGCATGGGAAGAATTACTTTATCCCGAGGGATCGTTTAAAACATATATCCTCTATCTATAACAGCATTCTCTAATTCATACTAAATAGTTTTCGTCGTATCAATCCCTGAACGATAGCAGGACCGTGAAGTACGACAAGCTGGTTTTGACAATCTTCAAATCATATCAGACTGATTAAGAACTAGTACTATTACAATATAACAAAGACATTCAAAGAATAATTCATACTGATCCGAAGTTCTCCATGTTCATTTCGTACAATCCTCCAGCCGTCAGCTTGCACGGTCTGCAGCTCCTAATTTGCATTATGTGAAGCGTCTTTTCAAGCTGCACTGGTATGTGGTACCAACTGGAAAAGTATCTATAGCAAAGTTTATATATTAGGATCATATGGATCAGATGTGATGTACATATCGTGACGAATGAACGTACATATCGTTGACCAATTGCAAGCTTTTGTCTATCAGCATTTGACCAGGAACACTTATGATGTAGATATGGAATTGCTGACCCAGCAGGAACAAAACAGTTCGGAAAGCATCCTCCGGTTTGTCGAAGTACATAACAGTCTAGTAAACAAAAGCATCGATTTATAAAAAAATCGTTAAAGAATTGCATCCAGTATGAATAATTGTGAATTAATAATAATTGTAAATTAATATTGCCGTAAGATTGATTTGAGTAAATGGTTCTTACTTGAACGGCAGTTACAGTGATGCCAATCATGTTTAAGCAAATCTCAAACAGGTAACTCATACGAGTACTCTCCTCCATATACTCGTGAAATCTTAACGTGTAACAAATCAAGTGATTTCTGTGAGTTATCTAATGCTCCGCTAGAGTTTATTATTAGTTTGTGTTACTATTAACCTGATGGCTTTGTAATGCATAATCACGCAGCTCTTAAGCAGATCTTGGTTTCTGTCCGATGAATGCATATTCCTTCCCTCGATCTCTACAGCCTTTTTAACCTGATGCCTGCATTCGAAATGTGATTAATACTAATTCGCATTGGTGTGATTGGAGCATTGGTGACTGATTGGTCTATTTCCAAAATTTTACTTACCCGCATATAGCAAATAGTCCGCAGGTGTAATGAATGATAACTATATACAACGAATCTATGGTGGTCACAATCAACACGATAATTATAGAACACCAGACTATATGAACATAGATAGTGTAAAAATAATCGTCGGTGTTTACCATGTAATTCAGTTTAAATAATAGTGGTTTTTGTCGAGTTTCGTTTAATGGCGCGACAAAATCCATGATGGGATAGAACAGTGGAACGCCCAGGTACACCAAAACAAATCCCCATATACTCTCTGAAAAATAGACATAAATATACAATTTTATTTTATTTTATAAATTATAAAAATTGTTAAAAGTTTGAAAAATTGTTAATAAAAGTTTTATTCAAATCACAAAAATTCATCATCAAAGCAATTTATTTGAGAATTCAAAAATTTCTCCATTGAAAAGATTTAGCATAAAATTCGCAACCCAAGTAATTAAAATCTAATTTGGTAATAGAATAAAATTTACTTCTATACAAACTGCCCATTTTACTTCCTTGCTCCGTGATTTCGTTCAGAACGTGTACTTCGCCATTATTCTCTGCAGTCTCCCACACTTCGGCCATGAGGTTAAATAAATTTTCAAACTGTAAACCAATTTATAGGCTGTAATTATACTGATGAATTTCGTGAACCATATTTATAATCATTATTAAGTATTATGCAAATACCTGTTCTCTGTTACTGTTGTGAAATATCATTATTATAAAAATACCTTTTTTTTGTTACTGTTGTGAGATATCATTTTTATCATAGTACCCAAGACGGTTGCGCTAATTGGTACGCATTCCATCATCGTGTCTATGTCCTGTTCCTGCATTGCCGATAAAAACTGTAACACCTATAATAATAATAAAATTAAAAGGTTTGCATCTTCCAAATGTTATACGATTAAAATAAAAGAACTGGTTGTCACAAAAATGTGAAGCATGTATTGTATTTATTGAAAACAGCAATCTGATTAAAGAAGCTTTTATTTCTAGCATTCGCTACATACGAGTTAAACATGGATTGTCTTGACATATTTAAACATACACTTGTACTTTAAAACTTACTTCTTGATTGTTAATACTTACTCCTGGAAGTAGGAGGCTGATTAATGTGACAATCAACAGGGTCACCCTAATTTGACTATTTATTTTAGTTTGACATGGATACTGTCCCATGTACATCAATAACTTTTTGAATACTCTGAGACAGGGTATTCGGGACACGTCGTACGTCTGTCTTTCATTTCTCTGGAACACTGAACGTTTTTAACTGTAGCCAACGATAACTGTTTAATAAACCTAGTGTCTGTGCGACGTCAGTATAATTAATGGACAGTTGCAAATTATTTGATGATTGTAGAACTATCAGTTTTTATTTGCAACTGATTAGCTATATTCTATTGCTGCCTCATATGTTGCTAAAAATCAATCAATTTTGACGACTTTGTTAAATAAAAAAATTAATGAATTTGTTCGTTTGAAAATTATAAAATTTGTCATTATTAAATATTGATGTTTTCAAAGTTAAATATTTATAAATCATAAAGTTTCCTAATGTAAGATATATGATTTCAAAATCGATAAAATAAAAAATATCTAAATCTGAAAGCCAAGTAAAGAAGTGGAGTATTTAAATTTCTAAGCCATCACTACAATGGTATTTCATATCACACAGTAACACAATTTATACAAAACTACAGCGTTTGCAATGAATTACTCGTAGCACTTTAACACTAAAACTACCAAACTCGTTCAATTTACAAATTTCCTACTGTTTGTTCAATCACTACATTTGTACCAAATTTGTTCAATTTACAAATGTAGTTCCCATTGCATTCAAATATCTCAATGAAAATAAGCAATGAACATATACAAAATTTTACGTCTCATCCTTGAATTACATATTCTTCTAACTTTATATTCGACTCAAAATTATATGTGAATTAACCGGTAGATTTAGTGTTAATAATCGTTGACACACTTTTGTCGCATCGGAAAAGCGGATGACCGTATCACTACAGCGACGTACGCACGAATAAACGCTTTCGGGAGCACCAGCCTGCATAGAAGTAGTGTTAACCCTTCACATGAAACAAGTAAATAATTGACATATGGTCCCTCCGACGTTCTTCATGAAATATCGAACAACCGTCTGTGATTTGAGGAGTTGACAGGTGCACATTATAGTCCAGCTCCTGCACCCTGTTTGTAAACACGAAACAGATAGCATTTAGATACGACCGGAAAAAATCTGCTTGCACTACAATTTCATATTTGCGACAGGAACCCACATCTGGCAAAACTTTTTTCTTAATGAATATTTCAGGTAGTCCACGGGAAAATGTAGCACTTGCGCGGTTCAGCGAGGGACACTGGTCGGAAATCTATAATATGATGATTCAGAAAGAGTGCTCTCCGTTCTGATCATTTAAATATTTCTGATCACTCAATATATATTATAATTTAACGAACCTCTGGGGTTAGTGCTGTATTCTTACAGCAGTCTTTGGACGATCGTTACACGGAACGGTTCTACTTCACTACCAATAGTGTGCATCATGTTATCGCATCGAATCTGTTTTGTGAAGTGACATGGAGTTACACTTGTGTGGCAGAGTTTAATTTGTGTGAATAAAGTTTGTAATTAATATTGCTAACTAATAGGTTAATATTGGATGAAATGGTAAGATTTTTCAAATTCCATATGTAGCATAAAATCTTTATTCAAACTACAACATGAATATTTTTTTGTTTCTTCTTAGAGCCATCACTGGTACAGAGAATTATTTACATGGTACTTTGCGATGCACGTCTTTAAAGGATGTTCGCCATTGTTGGACCTCAGATTTAACATGGTGGTCTTCTGTTATACCGATGAGGTAGTGTTGTAACTATAATAAAACCAAAAGAAGCTCACATATCGTTTAATTCTTGCTATCATTTTACTTAATTACAAAAACATATGGAAAACCATATGGATCATGTGGAACATAACGCACATGGATTTTGAAAAATTAAATTATTGCAAAATTAAACTTGTGAAACCATAACTGTATTAAATAATTTGCAACAAAAGTAACATAACTATGAAAGAGTCCATACCTTAGATGAAGTGAAGTAGTTTTATCTTTTAACGACTAAGAACGCATGGGAAGTACTGTATCCCGAGGGATCCTTTAATACACAAATCCTCTACCTAACATTCCCTAATTCATACTAACTAGTCCCCGTTAAATCACTCTCTGAACGACAGCAGAACCGTGAAGTACGACATGCTGGTTTTCACAATCTTCAAATCAAATCATACTGATTAGTGGTATTATAATATATTAAGGAGAAAGACAATATGTAAAACATACTGATCCGAAGTTCTCGATGTTCATTTCGTACAATCCTCCAGCCGTCAGCTTACACGGTCTGCTGCACCTGATTAGCATTATGTGAAGCGTCCTCTCGAACTGCACTGGCATTTGGTACCACTTGGAAAAGTATCTACAAAATTTTGATATCACGATCAAATCGATCAGAGTTTATATTATGAACGTACATATCGTTAACCAATTGCAAACTTTGGTCTATCAGCATTTGGCCAGGGAGACTTATGATGTACAGGTGAAATTGTTGACCTAACAGGAACATAACGATTCGGAAAGCTTCCTCCGGTTTGTCGAAGTACATAACTGTCTAGTAAACAAAAGCATCGATTTATAAAAGCATTGTTAAAGAATAAATGTTAAACAGTATGAATAATTGTAAATTGATAATAATTGTACATTAATGATAATTGTAAATTAATATTGCCGTAAGATTGATTTGAGTAAAGGGTTCTTACTTGAACGGCAGTTACAGTCATGCCAATCATGTTTAAGCAAACCTCAAACAGGTAACTCATACGAGTACTCTCCTCCATATACTCGTGAAATCTTAACGTGTAACAAATCAAGTGATTTCTGTGAGTTATCTAATGCTCCGTTAGAGTTTATTATTAGTTTGTGTTACTATTAACCTGATGGCTTTGTAATGCGTAATCACGCAGCGCTTAAGCAGATCTTGGTTTCTACCCCTTGAATGCGAATTTCTCCCCTCGATCTCCGCTGCTTTTTTAACCTGATGCCTTTGAATTGTTTATGTAATTTAATTAGCATTGCTGTAATTGGACTATTCCACAAATTCTTGTTTTACTTACCCGCATACAGCAAATAATCCACAGGTGTAATGTATGATAACTATATACAACGAATCTATAGTGGTCACAATCAACACGGTAATTAGACAACACAAGGCTATATGAAAATACACGGTGTAAAAATAATCGTCCGTGTTTACCAAGTAATTCAGTTTAAATAAGGGTGCCTTTGGTCGAGTTTCGTTTAATGGTACAACGTAATCCAGAAGGGGATAAAACAATGGAACACATAGAAATAGCATTACAAATCCCCATATACTCTCTGGAAAAAAGGACGTAAATATTCAATTTTATTCCGTTTTATAAATTATAACAATTGTCCTTATACACACAAGTTTTATCCAAATCACAAAAAATTCATCATCAAATTTATTTGAGAATTCAAAAATTTCTGTATTGGAAAAATTTAGCATAAAATTCCCAACCCAAGTAAAATCTATTTGGGAACAGAATAAAATTTACTTCTATACAAACTGCCCATTTTACTTCCTTGCTCCGTGATTTCGTTCAAGACGTGCACTTCGCCATTGGTCTCTGCAGTCTCCCATAGTTCGGCCATGAGGTTAAATATATTTTCAAACTGTAAAAATTACAAGCTGTAATCTGATGAATTTCATAGGTCATATTTTCAATCATTATTAAGTGCTGCACAAATACCCTTTTTCTGTTATTGTTGTGATTTATCATTTTTATCATAGTGCCCAGCAGGGTTGCGCTAACTGGTACGCACTCCATCATGGTGTCTATGTCCTGCTCACGAGATGCAGATACGAATTGTAATATCTGTAATAATAATCAAAAAAAGAAGTATTTACACTCGTCTTCCATTAACATTATACATTATACAATTATTAGAAAAAAAATAGGTTGTCACAAATGTGTGAAGCACGTGAATCATATGTGAACATATGAGATTATGATATTATTGTTAAAACGAATACATATATTTTTACTTACGGCCGGAATTAGAAGGCTCGTTAATGTGAGAAGTATCACGAACACCCTAAGTTGACTACCTATTTCTGCTTGATACGGATACTGACCTATGGACGGCAAATACTTTTTGAATACCTTGAAACAGGGTAGTCGGGACACGTCGTATCTGCGTGTTGCATTTTCCTGGAACACTGAACGTTCTCAACTGTAGCCGAGTTAGTGATAGTAATTAGAAAACCTAAATTGTGTCATCGGTAGAATAAATGGAACAGTTCCACGATTGTAAAATGATCTGATTTTCCCAAATAATTTACTGATATTTCCTACGTGTTATTACTGACTCGTATATTGCTAAAAGCGAATCAATTCTGACGGCTTTGGTAAATTACAAAGTTTATGAATTTGTTCGTTTGAAAATTAGAAAATTTGTAATATTAAACATTTAGAAATATTGATCTTTTCAAAGTTAAATATTTATAAATCATAAAGTATCTCAGTTTAAGATACATGATTTCAAAATAAACTGGAAAATGTCTAAATCTGAAAGTTAAAAAGTATCTATATTTCTAAACCATCAGTATTGTGGTATTTTATATCACACAATCACAATAATATCAGTTTGTTTAATTTACAAATTTAGTTCCATTTCATCCAAACATCTCTATGAAATTAACATTGTCCACAATTTTACGTTTCATCTTCGATTCACATATTTCTTTAACTTGATTTTCACCCGAGAATTATAGGTGCAAGTTTTAGTTGACGCACTTTTATCTCTTCAAAGAAGTAGATGACCGTATCACTGCTACGACATGCAAAAGAATAAATCCTTTGAGGACTGACTCGCATACAAGTGGTATCTACCCTTCATATAGAACGACAAAAAAGACATATTGTCCCTCTTCGTTCTTCATCAAATATCGAACAGCACCGTCTGTGATTTGAGGGGTTGACAGGTACGCATTATAGTGCACCTCCAACACCGTGTTTGTAAACACGAAACATTTATGACTGAAAACATCTGCTTATACTACAATTTCCTATTTGCACAGGAATCTGCATCCGGCAAAATTTTTTTGTCAATGAATATTTCAGATAGTCCGCGAGCACTGGTGTACCGCAAGTGACAATGGTTCGAAACCTGTAATATGCTTATAGATAAAACAATTCCTCGTGTAAATATTTCTGATTACTTCCATGTTTAATATGATAGAACGGACACCTAGGGTGCAATGTCGTGTCGCAGTGTTTCGTCGACGGTTACGCTGCACGGACCGACTTTGCGAGCGTGTAATATTTTCTGATTCCCATATTTCTACTATATGGGAGTACTTTCTATATTTTCGAACTCGAGTGATTAATCTTTGTGTACGAAGTCTTGAAATTTTTTATTCCTATATTTTCACATTTCTGAAGTAGCAAAACGTGGTCTCCAATTTCTGAATTGTTCAATCTCCAAATCTGTCATTCTCTGAATCCTCGAATTCCTAAATCTTCAAGCCTACGTTTTCAAATTTCTGAAGTACCAAATTTCCATGTTCTCCAATTTCTAAAATATCTAATCTCCAAATCTCCTATTCTCTGAATTCTCAAATTTCTAAAATACAAAATTTCCATAGTCTCCAATTTCTATTATATCCAATCTCCAAATCTCCAAATCTCCAAATCTCCAAATCCCCAAATCTCCAAATCTGTAATTCTCCAAATCTCCAAATCCCCAAATCTCCAAATCTGCAATTCTCCAAATCCTCAAATCCCCAAATCTCCAAATCTCCAAATCTCCAAATCCCCAAATCTCCAAATCCTCAAATCCCCAAATCTCTCATCTTCTAAATCCACAAATTCCCAAATCTTCAAATCCCCCAATCTCCATCTCAAATTCTCAAACACAAATTATTACAAAACTCGCGCCAAACTTGAACCTATCTACCTGGTCAAGTACATAACCTATTAAGTCTCTTCGTTTCATCCTAATAAAAAAATGTCTTTCCTTCCAACGTTAGATTCCATCCCACAAAGATGAAACATCCTTCGAAGAACAACGGAGAAATACGAGCATTCCTCTGGCACAACCGACAAAGATTCTCTTTCAACGGCTTCATGCTCCTTCAATTGCGCGGTCTGGCCGTTCACAATGGCGGAGAAAATCAGGCATTCTCGGTCCGCGATGAAGACGGAACCCGAGTGTTGTCCACGCTGCTTCGTCTGGAACCAGGAGATTGATTCGTCCAATTACGCTAAACAATCCTCGAGATGACTCGATCGTCCATGGCATGGATCGTTCATTCGCGGGGTCGGCGTTTTAATAATTTCCGAATGGAAATTCGAAACCGCGGCGCGGAATAGGTATACCGGTGAACGGGACAGCGAATTTTTGACTGAATTGAGTGACAAGTCAGAGGCATTCTTTCAACACTTCTTTATGATCACAGTCAGGGATCACTTGTTGATAAGGTTAGTATCGAACATGGTACACGTTTATTTTGTTTGTTAGGAACGTTGGTAGTTAGATTACACATTCTGCACATAGTACATTGCACTTGCTTACTTTTTTAAATTTACAAAATTTCACTATTATACACATTACTGTGCACAGTACTAGCACTATACCAGAGGTTCCTATCACTCCCTAAACTACAGCAAATCCTTAAAAAATTATGGAAAATAATACATACTGATCCGAAGTTCTCCATGTTCATTTCGTACAATCCAGCTGTCAGCTTACACGATCTACTACACCTAAAATAACAAAATAAATATAATACAAATGCATCTGGACACTGCGGGAACCCCTAACCAACGAGGTGCTTTTTGTCGTATTTAATTCAGCACGTAGTAGGGGAACAAAGAACTTGCAGTTCCACGGGACATTGAAACCGTAGTATCCTTCTACGTCCAACACAAGTACAGAATAAAATATACAGAATATAACTTATAGTTATATCGTTTTTATTGAAAACTTGCGAGGTACAAAAGTAACATTACAGTGAACATTTTTTTGTACTTTACAAACATTATTTCCCATAGTCCTTCTTGCTTTAACTCCGTACATTTATAACTATTTCTTCTTCCGAATAAAGATTCCCGGTTCACTCAGCCTCTCAGTGATAACAGGACCGTGAAATACGACATGCAGGTCTTAATAGTCTTCGAATAAAACCACAGTGATTATTTACTATTATATAATGATTATATTAGCAAGGATATATTTATACATACCGAGCCGAAATTTTCCATGTTCATTTCGTATAATCCTCCAGCTGTCAGCTTGCATGGCCTACTGCATCTCATTTGCATTATTTCAAGTGTTCTTTGGAATTTCGTCGGCGTCTGGTACCATTTCGAAGAGTATCTTTTGTAAAATTCCATGGTAGCGAATAGATCAATGTTAGTGAACACGTCCCGTACTTCGTGAGACATATATGACACACGGTATATTGCAGTGTACATTATGCATGCACAAAAATTGTTCGGAATATTATATTCTATACATTGTATTATTATATTTCTTACACATTGCGAGAAATGGGAAGTCTGACACGATTTGATGATAAAAGATTGTCACAAAAATGGCACTGTCACAAAAAGTCACTTAAGACTACACTAATTTAAATTTTTGTGATGAAGGAAAGTAACAAAAATGAGAAATACAGATAAATTGAGATACATACATAAATACAGATATATAACGTAAATCTACTGCGAATTGTTTCAGTACTTTCTTCAAAGAGCAAACACATGAGATATTCATACAACAATTTTGAGAATATTTGCAGCTTCAAACGTCACCAAATACATCTCAGACTTCTGTATTTTCAAATCAATGTCACTTGAAATTATAAATCGTATAAACTCACATATCGTCAATTAACTCTAAGCTGCGATCTGTCAGCACCTGACCAGGCAAACTTATGGCGAACAGATGAAACTGTTGACCAAACAAGAACATGACAATGCGGACAGCTTCTGCTGGTCTGTCAAAGTTTGCAACAGCCTAATTGATAGAAGAATATGTATAACGATATTATTGAATGCAGTGAAATTTTCTTGTTGCTTAATTCTTACTTGAACAGCAGTCACAGTTATACCAATCATATTAAATCCCACTTGAAACAGGTAGCCGATCCGAGTACTGTCGTTCATGTACTCGTAAAACCTGAGTGTTAGTTCAAGCAAATTCTGAGTTAACCTTTACTAATAGTTTATTGTTGATTTGAGGTGACTACTAACTTGATGGCTTCGTAATGCGTCTTCACACAGCGTTTAAGGTGGTCGTAGTTGAAATTATGTTTGCTGACATTGTTCGAATTTAGATCTACACCCTCCACTGCTCTCTGAATCTGATATCTGGATTTGCGGGAAAAAAAAATGATATATTTGTAGGGGGGGTGTCCCACTTGGACGTCGACCGATTGGACGCGTACCGAGTCGAAGCGTTCCAATTCCAGGCTCTACCGATAGAATACGTTCCAATTCGAAGCTGTTAGATTAGGTTAGGTTAGGGTAGGTTAGGTCCATTCGGCACTGCTTCAAGGCGGAACGCGTTCAATCGGTGCCGCTTCGAATTGGAGCGCTTCGAATCGGGACTCGTCCAATCGGTCAACGTCCAAGTGGGCATCATTTGCATAGGTGACAATATAATAACTTGTCAAATGTTGCAAAACAAAATATAGGCTGTCCTTACCCGCATAGGGCGAACAATCCACAGGAGTAATGTATAATAACCATGTACAACGAATCCATAGTCGTTACAATTAATACAACGTGCAGGGAACACCATGCTGAATGTAAATACACTATGTAAAAGTGATCCTCCATGTCTACGATGTAATTTAGTTTGAAGAGCGGTAGTCTAGCTCGAGTTTCATTTAAGGGTAGAACAAAGTCCAAAACGGAGGGAGACAGGGGAATGGACAGGAAAAGCACCGTGAATCCCCATAAGCTACCTGGAAAATATAAACAAAAACTAAGGAACATAAATAATAAGTAAAATTGAGAAATTAATATTTGTTGAACGATTAAGAATTTAATGAAAGAAAATATAAAATGCAAAAATTCTAATTTTGACAATAAAGAAAATTTCATTTTGATTGATAGAAGTGTGCAGTATTAACTTAAATAACCTGTGAGAAGCAATAAAGCTGTTATCAGAAGTTATTCTGATTCGAGAGATTGAAATTACCTCAAAACGTATTAAACATTAAAAAAGGAATTTTAATAATTTCACTGTAAAATTTAGTTATGTTTACTTCTATACAAACTGCCCATTTGACTGCCTTCGTCGGTGACTTCTTTCAAAACTTGTACTTCGCCGTTGAGCTCAGCGATCTCCCACAATTGAGACATGCGTTCAAATATGTTCAAAAACTGTAAATTAGTGCTACTTAATTCTCTGATATCACACATTGATACAGAACAAATACCTTCTTCCTATTAATATTGTGATTCAGTATTTTTATCATAGCAACTAACACCGAGACAATAACTGGCACGCAGTCCATCGCTGTATCCATGTCGTTTTCGCGCAGTGAAGAAAAAAATTGTAGTACCTGCGATAATCGAATGCAAAATACAGGCTTTCGTCATTCGAAAACTAATCAATATTTATTATTAGTATTATTTCTAAATATTACTAATTAATAACATTAATGACATAAATACTTAATATAGTTGTCTACTTACTGCAGGAATTAGAAGGCTCATTACACTCCCAACTGCCATAGTCACGTGAACCTTGTGGCTAAATTCTGTTTGATGCGAATACTGCCCAAGAGGTATCAAGTACTTTTTGAATACTTTGAAACAAGGCAATTCGGACGATTCTTTCTTACGTGTTTTATTGCCCTGCAACACTAAATATTATTAACTCGAGTCAAATTGATGAAATGTCAAATTATATTGCTCACGTAGATCACGGTAAAGTACACCAAAAAGATTCAACAGATAAACAGAGGACGTAACACAATAATAAGATAAACTGGAGTTTATTTTTATTATATTGTTATACAACAAAATTTTGTTATATCGTGACGAACGAGGTTGTAACAATTGACAGTATAGGAAGAGTACGCACTGCAAGCAATGTACAAATATAAAAATTTATTTTGTAATAGTGAATTTTGTTGAATATAAAAAATTCTGGACATCAGAAATTTTCAGTCTGAAACTTAAATCGATTTCTAAATTTCGAAACAAATATATTTGAAGGCTTGATTTATTTGAATAACGACGTTATCCTGCAGCGCGCGACACCAACACAGTTACCATGCGATAATTTTAAAATCGATGACACACTTTTATCGTTTCAGAAAAATGGATGACCGTATCCCTACTGCGACGCGCAAAGGAATAAATGCTTTCGGGAAGATCGACCTGTATAGAAGTAGTTAACCCTTAGTATTAACCCTTCACCTGAAACAAGTAAATAATTAACATATAGTCCCTCAGTCATTCTTCATCAAATATCGAACAACCGTCTGCGATTTGAGGAGTCGACAGGTACGCATTATAATCCAGCTCCTGCATTGTGATTATACATACGAAACATTTAGACACGGCTGGAAAAATCAGCTTACAGTATAATTGCATATTTGCGACAGGAACCCACATCTGGTAACACTTTTTTGTTAATGAATATTTCAGGTAGTCGGTAGGAATATGTAGCACTTGCATGCTACCGTGTGGAACACTAGTTGGCAATCTATAACTCAGAAAGAGTGTTCTACGTGTAAATAATTTTAATCACTTCAATGTATATTGTGTTATAACGAATCTCTAGGGTTAGCGTTGTGTTTTTACAGCAGTCTTTGGTCGACCGTTACGCGGGACGGTTCTACTTCCCTACGTGCACTGACAATAGTGTGCATCATGTTATTGCATCGAATACGTTTTGTGTATATGGAGTTACATTTATGTGACAGAGTTCGATTCGTATAGATAAAGTTTGTTATTAACATTGGTAACAGCTGTTAATAGGCTGACTGGCGATATCAAATGGTAAGATTTTTTTTAATTCCATATACGGCATATTTAAAATGCATAATTCCACATTCCTGATTTGAACAATTTCAATCCTCGAATTTTCTATTATTATTCCGTGAAAGTTTCAAATTTCTAAGTTTCGAGTTCTGAAAGTCTTGTGAACAAGATTTGATGCTTAGGTTTTATTTTGACAAGTGGACACTTGATGTGATCGGTGAAGCACAATTATAATTTCAAGCTTGAATTTTGCTTGAAAAGTGCGAACAAAAAGGTGCTTCTCACCTGAATTCTTAAAGTGTATATAAAGTGCATATAAACTATTGTCGTGCATCGTTTTTATTGAACACTTTCGAGTTACAAAAGTAATATGAGTATTTTTCTCTACTTCATAAATATTTTCTATTGTTTATGACCGTATACTTATAACAATTACTTCTTACTAATGAAGACTTCGGTTGAGTCAGCCCCTCAGTGATAGCAGGACCGTAAAATATGACACACAGGTCTTAATCATCTGCAAACCAAATAGATCATTAACATCTGCTACAATAATTATATTAAGAAGATATAATACATACCGATCCGAAATTTTCGATGTTCATTTCGTATAATCCTCCCGCTGTCAGTTTACATGGCCTACTGCACCTGATTTGCATTATTTCAAGTACTCTCTGGAATTTGATTGGTGTCTGGTACCATTTAGAAGAGTATCTTTTAAAAAATTTCACGATCCACAGTTAGTGAACAATATAATACACCTATAAATGTTAGAAACTCACATAGCGTCAATTAAACCTGCGCTGCGATCCATCAGCTCTTGGCCAGGCAAACTTAGGGCGTACAGATGGAACTGTTGTCCACACAGGAACATGACAATGCGGAAAGCTTCGGCTGGTCTATCGAAGTTTGCAACAGCCTAATTTATAGAATGTACGCGATATTTATTTTATTTTAAATTCACGATATTAAATACAGTAGTTTTGTTGCGTGGGATTCTTACTTGAACGGCTGTTGCTGTTATACCAATCATATTAAATCCCACTTGAAACAGGTAGCCGATCCGAGTACTCTCCTCCATATATTCGTAAAACCTGTTAGTTCAAGCAAATTTCGAGTTATCTAATTTTTATCGTTGTAGTTTAGTTTATTGTTGACTTGAAATGGCTACTAACTTGATGGCTTCGTAATGGGTCTTCACACAACGTTTAAGTCGCTCGTACTTGACACTACTTATTCTGGTATTATCCGAATTTAGGTCCATGTCCTCCGCCACTTTCTGAATCTGATATCTAAATTTGCAGGAGAAGAAAAATAAGTTTGTAGACATTTGCACACTAAATTTGTACTTGTAGACATTTGTAGATTACGTTTGTGTTTGTCGACATAAGTGAAAACATAATAGTTTATTAAATGTTACAAAACAAGACATAGGATACATTATACTTACCCGCATAGGGCGAACAATCCACAGGAATAATGTATAATAACCATGTACAACGAATCCATAGTGGTTACAATTAACACAACGTTCAGAGCGCAGCAGGCTGAGTGTAAATACACTATGTAAAAGTGATCTTCCATATCCATGATGTAATTTAGTTTAAAGAGCGATACTCTGGGTCGACTTTCATTTAAGGGTACTATGATGTCCAACGCGAAGGAAGAGAGAGGTATGCAGAGAAAAAGTGACACAAATATCCACAAACTACCTGGGAAAAACATAATAAACAGAATTAACAAATAATTTATTGATCGCTTGGAATTTAATCGGTGATAAAATCACATAGTCATCTATTTAAGATGATTCATTTATGACATAAGTTACAAACATTTCAATTTTAATTTTATTGCGATTGAAATCACTTTAAAACATATTGAAGGCTTTAAAAAAAAATTCAGACATATTTCAATGACGACTATGAAGAAAATTATTACTTCTATACAAAGTGCCCATTTGACTGCCTTCGTCAATGACTTCTTTCAAAATCTGCAATTCTCCATTGACCTCAGCGATCTCCCACAGTCGAGTCATGCGTTCGAATATGTTTTCAAACTGCAAATTATTGCTACTTCATTCTCTTATATTCTTTCACACATCAGTGATACAAATACCTTCTTCCTGTAAATGTTGTGATTCAGTATCTTTATCATAGAATTTATCACCGAGACGGAAACTGGAATGCAATCCATCGCCGTATCAATGTCGTTCTCGCGAAGTGACGAAAAAAACTGCAGTATCTGTCATAATAATCGAATGCAAAATACATATAATTCATTAGTAATTCATTCAGTAACTCATATCAACTGATATCCCCTTTCCGTCTTCCGGAAAAATAAAAAATTCTTATTAGTATTAGTAAATGTTATGTATTCGTTGTCTACTTACTGCAGGGATAAGAAGGCTCATTACACAGCCAACTATCACAGTGATAATAACCTTGTGACTCAGTTCTGTTTGGTAGGAATACTGCCCTAGAACTATCAAGTACTTCTTGAACACTTTCAAACAGGGTATTTGGGACGAGTTTTCTTTGCGTGTTCCATTGCTCTGCAACACTAAATGATTTAAGCTAAATCGAAATATCAAATTATTTCACGTAATGCTGATACACGATGAAGCTTCTACAGATAAGGCAATATTGATTACAATAACATGAGATTGATAGGAGTAAATTTTTCTTATATTACCCCGAACGAGACTGTAACGAATGACAATATAGAAACAGTGCGTACACTGCAGACAATTTATAAATATCTAAATCAGTCTTGTAATATGAAGTGTTTGTGAATTTAAAAAATTCTGGCCATGTAAAATTCTCAAAGTCTAAAAGTCCTAAATTTTTAAATTCCGAATGAAAAATATTTGAACTACTTACTTGAATGACTGCGTTATCGGCGACACCAATTACCATGAATTAACCCTAGTGTTAATAGTCGTCGATACACTTTTATCGCTCCAGAAAAAGGGATTACTGTTTCACTACTGCGACATACACAAGAATAAATTTTATGACAAAATCAGGCTTGTATAAAAGTGGTGTTAACTTCAGCTAGAACGACACAGTAATTGACATATTCTCTCTCCGACGTTCATCAAATAAACAGCACCGTAAATTGTGGAGTTGACAGGTGCACATTATAGTCCAGCTACTGCACCGTGTTTGAAACACGAAACAGATCGCATTTTGACACGACTGGAAAAAATCTGCTTGCACTATAATTTCATAGTTACAACAGGAACCCGCATCTGACAATACTGTTTTGTGAATGAATATTTCAGGTAGTCTACGGGAAAACTTGCGTACAGTGAGGGGCAGTAGTCGGAAATTTTTAATAAGATGATTCAGAAAGAATGTTTTCTGTGCAAATACTTCTTATCACTTCAATAGATGTTATAATGTAACAAATCTATGGGGTTAGGGCTGTTCTTACAGCAGTCTTTAGACGACTGTTACGCGGGATGGTTGTATTATCTTCCTACGTGCAATATCAAGAGTGTGCAGTATGTTACTGCATCGAATACATTTTGTGAGGGTTGCATTTATGTAGAGTTACATTTATGTGATCTGAGTTTGTGCATATAAGTTTGTAGTTATTAACATGGCAACAACTGTTAATAGATTGACATTGGATCAAATGGTAAGATTTTTTTATTAGCCTCTTCCCATACTTTAACGAGTTAGACTCGTGACGCACTTATTATTCAAATGCGACAAATTTACTCAAATTTTGAATTCTCTTTTACTTGAAATTTAGGTGCAGCTACACGTTGTATTATCAAGGATCTCTGAATATAAAATACGCACAACATTTTAATTTTCTTTGTTCGGTTATAGCCCTAATTATTTAGTCTTGACTGACGAATCTGATAAATAAATGGCACGGGAAGAGATTAAATTCCATATGCAGCACATTTAAACTTCATAATACCAAATTTCTGAGTTCTACAATTTCAATCCTTGAATTTTCAATTTTCCCCAAAAAATATCCTTCTTGACGTAGACTTATATCGCACATTGTAAACTTATATCCAGAAAAATTTAGAAAGGTTCACTTGCAAAGGAGTAATAAAATTTTAATGGTAAAAACTACCCTTAATTTACATTCCTAAAATGTGGATATAGAAATAAAATAAACATGAAGTCAAAAATCCCATGTTCTTATTATTGAAAACTTTTTTTATTGAAAACTTACAACAGTGATATGACTATTTTTTCTACTTTACAAATATTTTTCGTTGATGTCATTCTTCTTTTGACAACTCATATCGATATCAAGAATGTCCACTTCCATTTTTAATCGAATCAGCCTCTCAGTGACAGCAGGACCGTGAAGTACGACACGCTGGTTTTAATAATCTTCAAATCAGACCATCTATTTACTATTACGAAACAATAATTATATTAGGGAGAGAACATAGTGATACATACTGCTCCGAAATTTTCCATGTTCATTTCATAAAATCCGCCTGCTGTCAGCTTACATGCCTTACTGCATCTGATTTGCATTATTTGAAGTGTTCTTTGGAATTTCACTGGTGTCTGGTACCATTTAGAAGAGTATCTTTTGTAAAATTTCATGATATCGAATAGATCAGTGTTAGTCAACACGTTCCTTACTTCGTGAGTTGTATGTCGCATAGTATTGCAGTGTACAGCATTATGCATACACAAAAATTGTTCAGAATATTATATTCTTACTCGAATGACACTTTGTAAGAACTGATAAGTCACGATTTGATGATAAAAGATTGTCACAAAAAATGACACTCACAAAAAGTCACTTAAGACATCCAATTTAAATCTTGGTGATGAAGGTAACAAAAATGAAAAATACAAATAAATCGCTACAGTAACGTAAATCTACTGTAAGTTTCATTAGTTTCTTCACAGACAAATGTTCATACAATATCGAGAATATTTTCAGCTTCCTAACCAAACACTTTTTCTGTATTTCTTTTATTTTCAATGACGAATCCACCTAAAAGAAATCTTATAAACTTACATATCGTCGATCAAATCTAAACTGCGATCTATCAGCACTTGTCCAGGCAAACATAGAGCGAACTGATGAAACTGTTGACCACACATAAACATGAGGATTGCGATGAATTCGTTGGGTCTGTCCATGTGCAGAACAGCCTAATAAACATCGTAGACATGATTACAATTTACCAGAACCAGAAGTTCTCTTTAAATAAAAATTTCTTACTTGTACCGCATTTACGATGAAGGCAATCATTGTGAAAACAACTTGTAACAGGTATCCTGTACGAGTACTCTCGTCCATGGACTCGTAAAATCTTAATTTGTAAAAAATACGAGAAATTCTGTGAGTTTTCGGTTGCTCATAGTTTATAATTGCCACTGCTAACCTGATAGCTTCATGATGGGTAATCACGCAGCGTCTGTACAGATCGTTTTTATTGCGAATCGTGGCATTTGTTCCTGCGATCTCGGCTGCTTTCTTGACCTGATACCTGCGTTTGAAACATTCGAATGAAAACACGTTAAAGTATATGAATTTTTCATAACATGAAATGTTCTATGATTTTCAGAAGCTTGTGTTTTGTACTGATAATAAGTATACATTTATAGTTTGAGGTTAGGTCCACGCGAATATTATTTTAAATTATATTTGTCAGGATAATTTTACCTTTTGCTGTAATAAAGTATTATTCAATAATGTTTTATCGTTTGTTTATGAATTTTTCTACTAGATTTTTTAAAGTATGTGTACGAATGGGGATGAAATATGTCTGAAGTAAAAAGTGCAACTCCTTCCCCAAAATTAAAGGGAAATTTTTTAAATTCTTAATATATGCACAAGTATCAATTATTGGAAAGTACAATAAATGCAATAAATTTACCCGCATAAAGCAAACAATCCACAACCATAATGAACGATAACCATGTACAACGAATCGAAAGTGGCTATAATCAGTACTATGATGATGGAACTGAACGCTGAATGGAAATACTCGATGTAAAAATGATCTTCCGTGTCCACGATGATGTAATTCAGTTTAAAAAGTGATAGTCTAGCTCGAGTTTCATTTAACGGTAAAATGTAATCCAGAACTACTGGACACAATGGCATGGATAGGAAAAATGTCGCAAATATCCATAAAGAACCTGAAAGACAGACGTGAAAACTACAATTTTCTACTTAAAATGATTCATTAGTTGCCTTAGTTGGTAGAAGCAGGAAACTAATTAAATAAATTAGCTATCAAAGTCAAATTTGTGACAAGCGTAATGACATTCCGACCCATCAATTTAAAATATTTTAAGCATTTGAATTAAATATTGTTCACATGAAAATTTAGTTGCATTTACTTCTGAACAAACTGCCCAATCGACTTCCTTCGTCGGTGACTTCTTTCAAAGCTTCTACCTCGCCATTCATCTCGGCGATCTCCCACAGTTGAGATATGCGGTCAAATATATGTTCAAACTGCAAATTAGTGCAACTTTACTTTACGTGTTTTTTCATCGATCACTGATATAAATACCTTCTTTCGGTTAATATTGTGGTTTAATAGTTGTATTAAAACAACCAACACCGCGAAGGTAATTGGCAAGGAATACATCGCCGTATCAATATCGTTTTTCAGCAGCGATGAATAAACTTGCAACACCTGTGTCGAATGCGAAATAAATGCATCAACCGATAGCTCCGTTCCGTCATTTTAGAATTCATCGATACTTAGTAGTGTTGAATACTAATTAATTATACTAATGAAATGCTCAATATACTCGTTTACTTACTGCGGGGATTAGAAGGCTCGTTACAATGCCAACTGACATAGTCACGTTAATCTTGTGGCTAAGTTCTGTTTGATACGAGTACTGTCCTAGAGGTATCAAATACTTTTTGAACACTTTCAAACAAGGTGCTTGAGACGCTTCTTCCGTGCGTGTTCCATTGCTCTGCAACACTAAATGATTTAAGCTAAATCGAAATATCATATTCTATCATGTAATGTTGATACACGATGAAGCTTCTATAGATAAGGTAATACTGGTTACAACAACATAAGGTTAATACGAGTAAATTTTTCTTATATTACCCCGAACGACACTGTACCGATTGACAATATAGAAACAATACATGCACTGCAAGCAATTTATAAATAAATTTAAATTTGACAAATCTAAATCAGTCTTGTAATATGAAGTGTTTGTGAATTTAAAAAATTCTCAAAGTTTAAAAGTCCTAAATTTTTAAATTCCGAATGAAATATATTTGAACTATTTACTTGAATGACTGCGTTATCGGCGACACCAATTACCATGAATTAACCCTAGTGTTAATAGTCGTCGATACACTTTTATCGCTCCAGAAAAAGGGATGACTGTTTCACTACTGCGACATACACAAGAATAAATCTTATGACAAAATCAGGCTCGTATAAAAGTGGTGTTAACTTCAGCTAGAACGACACAATAATTGACATATTGTCCCTCTGACGTTCATCAAATATCAAACAGCACCGTGAGTTGTGGAATTGACAGGTGTACATTATAGTCCAGTTACTGCACCGTGTTTGAAACACGAAACAGATCGCATTTTGACACGACTGGAAAAAATCTGCTTGCACTATAATTTCATAGTTACAACAGGAACCCGCATCTGACAATACTGTTTTGTGAATGAATATTTCAGGTAGTCTACGGGAAAACTTGCGTACAGTGAGGGACAGTAGTCGGAAATTTTTAATAAGATGATTCAGAAAGAATATTTTCTGTGCAAATACTTGTGATCACTTCAATAGATGTTATAATGTAACACATGTATGGGGTTAGGGCTGTGTTCCTACAGCAGTCTTTGGACGACTGTTACGCGGGACGGTTGTATTTCCCTACGTGCAATATCAAGAGCGTGCATCATGTTATTGCATCGAATACATTTTGTGAGGGTTGCATTTATGTAGAGTTACATTTATGTGATCTGAGTTTGTGCATGTAAGTTTGTAATTAATAACATGGTAACAACTGTTAATAGGTTGACACTGGATCAAATGGTAAGATTTTTTTATTAACTTCTTTCTGTACTTTGACGAGTCTGACTCGTGACGCACTTACTATTCAATTGTGACGAACCTTACTCAAATTTGGAATACTCTTTAACTTGAAATTTGCAGTTATAAGTTGCATTATCAAGGATCCCTGAATATAAAATACGCACATTTTAGTTTTCTTTGTTCGGTTTAATGTTATAGTCCTAATTAGTTAGTCTTGACTGACGTATCTGATAAATAAATGACACAGGAAGGAGTTAAATTCCATATGTAGTACATTCAAACTTCATAATGCAATTCCTGATTTCTACAATTTCAATCCTTTGAATTTTCAATCTTCCCCTCAAAATATCCTTCTAGATGTAGTCTTATATCGCAGATTGTAAACTTATATCAAATTCAGAAAAATTTAAAAGAGTCTGCTTGCAAAAGAGTAAAAAAATGTTAATAGTAAAAACTACCCTTAAATTTCTAAAAAGTGGATATAGAAATAAAATAAACATGACATTAAACATCCTATATTTTTATTAATAACTAGCAAGGTACAACAGTGTGACTATCAGTATCTTTCCAACTGTACAAATATTTGATGTCATTCTTCTTTTAACAACTCATAACGATATCAAGAATGTCCACTTCCATTTTTAATTGAGTCAGCTTCTCAGTGACAGCAGGACCGTGAAGTACGACACGCTGGTTTTAATAATCTTTAAATCAGACCATGTATTTACTATTACCAAACAATAATTATATTAGGGAGAGAACATAGTGATACATACTGCTCCGAAATTTTCCATGTTCATTTCATAAAATCCGCCTGCTGTCAGCTTACACGCCTTACTGCATCTGATTTGCATTGTTAGAATTGTTCTTTGGTATTTCACTGGTGTCTGGTACCATTTGGAAGAGTATCTTTTGTAAAATTTCATGGTATCGAATAGATCAGTGTTAGTCGACACGTTCCTTACTTCGTGAGTTGTATGACGCATGGTATTGCAGTGTACAGCATTACGCATACACAAAAATTGTTCAGAATATTATATTCTTACTCGAATGACACTTTGTAAGAAATTATAAGTCACGATTTGATGATTGTCACAAAAAATGACACTCACAAAAAGTCACTTAAGACATCCAATTTAAATCTTGGTGATGAAGGTAACAAAAATGCAAAATACAAATAAATTGATACTGTAACGTAAATCTACTGTAAGTTTCATTCGTTTCTTTACAAACATTCTTTCTGTATTTCTTTCATTTTCAATGACGCATCCACCTAAAAGAAATCTTATAAACTTACATATCGTTGATCAAATCTAAACTGCGATCTATCAGCACTTGTCCAGGCAAACATAGAGCGAACTGATGAAACTGTTGACCACACATAAACATGAGGATTGCGATGAATTCGTTGGGTCTGTCCATGTGTAGAACAGCCTAATAAACATCGTATACATGATTACAATTTACCAGTACCAGAAGTTCTCTTTAAATAAGAATTTCTTACTTGTACCGCATTTACGGTGAAGGCGATCATTGTGAGAACAACTTGTATCAGGTATCCTGTACGAGTACTCTCGTCCATGCACTCGTAAAATCTTAATTTATAAAAAATACGAGAAATTCTGTGAGTTTTCGGTTGCTCATAGTTTATAATTGCCACTGCTAACCTGATAGCTTCATGATGGGTAATCACGCAGCGTCTGAACAGATCATTTTTAGTGCAAATCGTGGCATTTGTTCCTGCGATCTCAGCTGCTTTCTTGACCTGATACCTGCGTTTGAAACATTCGAATTAAACCACATTAAAATATATGAATTTTTCGTAACATGAATATTTCTATGATTTTCAGAAGCTTGTGCTTTGTACTGATAATAATTTGCACCGGTTGATTAAATTTACCCGCACAAAGCGAACAATCCACAGCCATAATGAATGATAACCATGTACAGCGAATCGAAAGTGGCCGTAATCAGTACTACGACGATGGAGCTGAATGCTGAATGGAAATACTCGATGAAAAAATGATCTCTCATGTCCACCATGTAATTCAGTTTAAAAAGTGGTTCTCTAGCTCGAGTTTCATTTAACGGTAAAATGAAATCCAGAAATATTGGACACAACGGCATGGATAGGAAAAATATCGTGAATATCCATATAGAACCTGAAAGATGTAAAAAGCACAATTTTCTTATAATGATTCATTATATGTAATGGATGTTACACAGTAAAAGTTTCAAGGAAAATATAGAAAATTTGGCCTTAGTTGCTGGAAGCAAGAAACTTAAATAAATTAGGCATCAAAATAAAATTTTTGTAATACTATTCCAACCCAAGGGACTTTAAAATATTTTAAACATTTGAATTAAATATTGTTCTCGTGAAAAATTGTATTTACTTCTGAACATACTGCCCATTTGACTTCCCTCATCGGTGACTTCTTTCAAAACTTCCACCTCGCCATTCATTTCGGCGATCTCCCACAGTTGAGACATGCGGTCAAACATATGATCAAACTGAAAATTAGTGCAACTTTACTTTACACGTTTTTTCATCGATGCAGTGATATAAATACCTTCTTTCGGTTAATATTGTGATTTAATAATTGTATTAGAATAACTGACACTGCCAAGATAATTGGCAAGGAATACATCACCATGTCAATATCGTTTTCCCGCAGCGATGAAAGAACTTGCAACGTCTGCGTCGAATGCAAAATAAATGTATCAACCGATAGTTCCGTCAGTCCAAAATTGCTCAATATCGTTTACTTACTGCAGGAATTAGAAGGCTCATTACAGTGCCAGCTGCAATAGTCACGTTAATCTTCTGGCTAAGTTCTGTTTGGTACGAGTACTGTCCTAGAGGTATCAAATAGTTTTTGAACACTTTCAAACAAGGTGCTTGAGACGCTTCTTCCGTGCGTGTTCCATTGCTCTGCAACACTAAACGATTCGGGCTAAATTATGTCACGTAAAAGACACACGAACAAGTTTCAACAGATTGCTACACAATAATAAGATTAACTGGAATTTTTGTTATAAATTTTAATTATAAAATTCTGAACTGAGAATATTGTAAGGCTTGATTTACTTTAATAAGAGTGCTATCTTGCAACAACTACCGCCAAGCTATTATTCTCAGTTACACACAAATGTGTACTGCAAAACAGCAATATTTGTAAAAAGATTCTAGTACAACTTCATCCTCTGTTCACACACTTTTTTATTTCCGATAGAAGAAGGTAGTTGACAGTTTCACGGATAGAGCGATAATGTACAGGAAACAATTTACTATAGCATGAAAATGATTTTGCTTCGTAGAGGAAGTCTTAGTTCCCCTACTCGAATAATTAAATGATTTAGCGCCCCATTATTTTGCCTACATTCGATATCAATCACCCTCGTGTAACAGTTGTGCAAGTGGCAAGTAGAAATTATGGCACAACTCACGAACTACGGATAACTTATTATGCATATAGTAAATGCGATACAAATGACATCTGAATATTGGTGATAGACAGGCAGAAACGCGCAATTATACGAACCGCTTCTTCTCCATTAATAGTTTAGTTATTTAGTGGGGAAACAAAGAACTAGCTGTTAAAAGGTGCATAAGCTAATAATCTATCGTTGCAGATTCAGTAGGGGATACTTACCCTACTACCCTAAGGTAGATCCTTCGTTCAGTAGGAACTGTTCAGTTCATTGCAATACAATCTGACGCTGCTACAGAAGTAACGGTAAATATAACAGAACCATTTGGCAACTTTATTGCAGAAAGCAACGACTGACCGGCTACGCAGCAAAGCGAGAAAAAACAAGACAGATTAATCCGTTTGGCCAGTTTCATTTATCATTCCGGTCGATCCTCGTTCAGCGTGTTTACACGCGTTGCGCCGCGGAAGACGCTAATTCGACGGTGTTGGCCCGATCGAAAGAAAGGGTATCAGATCGTAAAACGATCTCGCCTTTGTGCGCGAGCATCGGGGCCCGGGACCGATCGCGGTGCACCGAAATCGCCTGACGGTCGTTCGGGGTACACGCTCCCTCCGGCTCGTTCGAGCACCTTTCAATTTGCTCTTGTTTCCTGAATGCGGTGAAGCGCAGAGGGAGGCCGCGACTTCCCGCCGCGTAGATAATTAGATCGCTACCAACCACCTCCACTTTCACGCATCTTCACCTCCGCGGTTGCGTACCCGCCGTTTCTCTCTTCGTGTACCGCCGCTTGTTCCGACGGCTCCTCTTCTTCCGCCGGTTCTCCCGCCGCTCCAAAGAGCAAAGCGAGCACGCTTCCCTCGCGGCGTGATGCCAATGGATGCTCGCGGTGCAACCGACTTCGTCCGCGAGCAACCGCGCCGAAGAGGAGCCGTTCCTCTCGGACGCGCGAACGTTCTCTGCTGCGCCCTTCTCGAGTCGAAATTTAAATTCCACTTTGAATTTATCGACTTTGCACGACGTACTTGGCATCTGAAATTTTGGGGTGAGAGTTTGAGACTGTAGTTTACTGATTTCAAAGTGTCAGCTTTGTAGTGGAGCTAAGGCCCAGCTGAGAATTGTGGAAATTCACTATTAACAAAATTATAACTATCACTGGGGTTGCAATATGAATTGTGAACATACATATATTTTCATTTAAAATCATTAATTTTTATAACTATTACAGCATTTTATTAAAAACATGTATTTTATTATCTAAAGTGCAATTGACTTTTATGATGGCAGGTCTACACCGATTATGCCATGATGACATCAGTGGTTATGACATTCCCGTTGCATTGTTGATGTAAGAGAAATTGAGCGTTACAAGCTCGGTTCTGCATACACTGTTGCATTGACATTTTACACCGACAAGATTTACAACCACCGACATAATCTTGCGACAACAATGTCGGCAGCTCCGACGTGTGGACATCAAAGATATACTTTCAGCTGGTAAGATTTATTTTGATTAATTAATTATATACTTTGTTTAATACACGCGGTATAAGTACATTACTAATATGATATACAGGTACTTTATTTATGTCCACGTTTCGTTAAATAAATATAAAATAAATGAATGTGTTTTTCATGATTTTCATAGTTAATATACAGACATAAAATTCTGCGCCCTTCTCGAGTCGAAATTTAAATTCCACTTTGAATTTATCGACTTTGCACGACGTACTTGGCATCTGAAATTTTGGGGTGAGAGTTTGAGACTGTAGTTTACTGATTTCAAAGTGTCAGCTTTGTAGTGGAGCTAAGGCCCAGCTGAGAATTGTGGAAATTCACTATTAACAAAATTATAACTATCACTGGGGTTGCAATATGAATTGTGAACATACATATATTTTCATTTAAAATCATTAATTTTTATAACTATTACAGCATTTTATTAAAAACATGTATTTTATTATCTAAAGTGCAATTGACTTTTATGATGGCAGGTCTACACCGATTATGCCATGATGACATCAGTGGTTATGACATTCCCGTTGCATTGTTGATGTAAGAGAAATTGAGCGTTACAAGCTCGGTTCTGCATACACTGTTGCATTGACATTTTACACCGACAAGATTTACAACCACCGACATAATCTTGCGACAACAATGTCGGCAGCTCCGACGTGTGGACATCAAAGATATACTTTCAGCTGGTAAGATTTATTTTGATTAATTAATTATATACTTTGTTTAATACACGCGGTATAAGTACATTACTAATATGATATACAGGTACTTTATTTATGTCCACGTTTCGTTAAATAAATATAAAATAAATGAATGTGTTTTTCATGATTTTCATAGTTAATATACAGACATAAAATTGACGCTTCCAATTGTCTCAATATTTGTAACTATAGTAAAGGAAAAATATTATGGAAAAATTTTTGCTACTTACTTTTTGCACCACCCTGTATTCGATCAAACGTCGCAGAAATTAATTCGTAATTCATACTGGAACATCCATCATGCAAATCATTCGATGCAAGCACGTCAGCTTCACAGTTCAATTCGACCCAGACAAAAATCTCCCCCCGAATGCCTACACGCTATCGAACCAGCACGCCCATGCAACACACTCCTCCACCATAACAAATACCCTCCATCCTCAGACAAGACGGCACCCATAATAAAAGAGTACCAATGATCCCAGTGGCGTCACCCATGTTTTTCAAGGTGACACGGCCCCTACTGTTTCCTAGGCGACTGGATAAAGTGCTCCCTGTCGTGCAGGCCGCAGGTCTCTTCAGGGCCTGATCGTGTGTAGGAGAATACTAACCTTTCTGACTTCTTTCGCTACTTGAACATTTCGATTATCGGAGCTGTTCATTTTTGGAATTTTTATTACATAATTGGTGTTCGTTCTATCAGTCAACTAAAATTGAAGCTATATATTTGTCACGATTTAAAAACAAGTGAATTATTGAAGGATAAAAATGAGAAGTGTCCAAGTATCTAAGTACATCAGAATTATCTATGTTCCCAAATATCAAATTTTGAATGCGAAAGTTTAAATGAAACATAAAGTCACTGAATTAGTAAAGTTGATATTAGTGAATCTCCGAATTTGAAAATGTTCAAACATCGCCACTGCTTCAGAACATAAAAGGCTGGGACTGTGCCGTGAAAGAGGGTGAATAAAATAAATGTGATACTTTCAGCACCGCCGCCTTGCCTCCAGACTTCTCCTGGGGCATAAATAACGCATAACTTGACCGTCGATGAACGAGCGTCTGTTGGAAGACGAGATAGCCTATGTGACCAGCTAAACTGAAAGATTAGAATAGGAGGTTGCATCGACGGGAGGGAAGAACCCAGCGAACATGAAAAATCCTTCGATGATGCTACGTATCACCAGGAGGCAAGCGTGATTCCATTAGTCAGGACCTCACCACCGACGACCACGATTCAAAATCATAAGGTACCAGGTACCTGCCTAATTTTAAAACCTTATTCTTTCTACAATGTTACTTAACAAAGGAGGTAAATTTTGTCTTGTTCTGACACTAACAAATTTATTTTTTTGTTAGTAGATCTCGGTACTAGACTTACAGATCTTACAGTGTATTCTGATTCCATGTGTTGTGTAGCTTTGGAAATATTACAATATGTGGACACTTACCAAAAATGATAGACGAGTACTAGAGTTCAAGTGGACGCAGACAAACTTGCGATTTTTGTTAATTCAGTGAGTATAAAAATGAAGGATTTATTGTAAAGTTCAGGTATCGGCAGTTTAGCTAACCTTGGAAATATCCTTGAAGTTTGAAGGCCACTACTTACGGAAGAGCGGTTACATTTGAAATATTCTCGAAAAAGAAAAGGTAGCACCTTCCTTTCCACGTGTAGGTATCGAATTGCGTACATTAACACCGCAACAGAGCGGCGCGACAGCGTACAAGGAAGCAGCCGTGGAAGGATGCATCAACAGGCGTTGACCGCATGCGGTGTAAACTCGCCTTCAGGGGACCTGGAGTTACCCTCGAAACCCCTGGCAGGGGGTCCGTACACCGGCTTCTCCTTCCTCTTTTTTAAAAGTAAGGATACCTGTCACCGATAGTGATTTGTTGAGTGTATTTGCATTTTAGATTTAGACTGCCGCGCCTGCTGCTGCCTCGTCTCATCTCCTCTGTCTCTCCCTCGCCTACACCCTAACCTAACCTATCCCGTTTCATCCCCACCCGAAGATGGAAGCATCTCCAATTTGGTTCGTCCTTCTCCGCTTCGATTTCTGGTTTCTGGTCACTCACGTAAGCGTCGCGAGGGATGGCGAACGGGGGTGGGACGCGAAGGAGAAAGGATGGGAATTTCGTTGCTTCAGGAATGACATTAGTCATATACCATCCCCCGATTGCTGGCGCGGAGACTTGTTTATGCACGTTTAAAGAATGATTAGGCGATGGAGTCGCGACGGGGGGCACCTTGCCATCCCTCTTTCCCTCCGTCGCTCTTCAACCGCTTTTACTCGTGATTCCTCTTCGCGTTTGCAGACGTCGCCGCCTCTATCGCAGCGTGAAAATGACCGCACAGTTTCCTTCGTGACCATGATTTTTCATCCTGTTTTTTCACTTTTTCGAATGATCTTCAGATGGACTTTTCAACGGGGGTATTGTTGCGATTGTGTCGTTGGGTAATGTCAAGTCTTTTTTGCTGACTTGTGAAGACATTTTGGAAATTGTATAAAACTGCAGCTGCGAAGAATGCAGACGGGTCTGATTGGCTATGACCTCCATAACTATAGTAGCGCATTTAAGTTATAAATTATTGACTTAATTTGACAACATAGTGATTATTAATTACTAAGATGTATATATAGAACCCTAAGTGTAGGAGTAGTAGACATAAATATTCTTTTTAGCTGTGAATTGTAGGTCAGATCTGAGTTGAATATAAATATGGTAGACATAGTGAATATAAAAATTTTAAACCTAACCCTAAATACTCAAAAACCTTGAAATTTCTTACTAACACTAATCCTAATAACATAACCTAATTTCTCAGCTGATAAACTCAAACAAAATTGACCTTATTTTCACTAAATTCCTAATGATATCCAAGAGCAATCTTAATAAAGGATTCATTTATTGTTTACACAGAAGTAGAATATTATTCTCCGTTGTTAAAAAAGAAATGACGTAAGTTGGTCCACATTCGTCGGTGGTTAGACGAGAAGGATTTTGGGCTGGAATGCGCGACACTCGCGGCGGGTGTTCAAGTAACACGAGTGACTTTTTGACCCCGCAGGCGGTACCCCAAGCAGGGTGCGGCACTGGAAGTCTCCGAAAGGATTCACGCAGTCCGAAAAGGAGATGGAGGAGTGGACGCAGAAATATCTCGACAATAGGGCCCAGTCATACGATAATAATGATCAATTATCGATCTGTCATTCAAAGGCTACGCCGACGGAATGCACGACGAATCGAACTCTTTTTCTTCATCGTCTCCTCGTCTTCTGCTCTTTCTTCTTCGAGACCGCCTTCGATATCCTTCCTATAACGCTCCGACGATCCTCCTGGCATTTTAGTAACATTTTCTGGAAAATGTTAATGGGCAAGATGCATTGTCTCGAATTTTTTGTGATTATCTTGCAAGCTATATCGATACGAAAGCGATTGTTAGCAATAATTATTATTGTAAAGCAATAATTATTATTTTTAAGTATGCATTTTTTACAAATTTAATTATAAATAATTCTACAAATAATTCAATAAAATTCAAACATTTATTGTCACAAATATACAACAATATTTTACCTAAGCTAATAATATTTCATATAAATATTATTAATTATTAAATGTCTCATAATTGTTCACAGGTGAAAAAATGCTTTAAAAGGGCGACTCAGAGTGTCGATACAGCACTGGCCAATTTTCAGCCCGCCAAGATTTCTCACAGCAGTAAACCAAGCAGTAACTACCGGCTGCCGCAAAAAGCCTGAAATTAATAATAATAACGACAGGTTACGCGGTAAAGCTGCTAACTGGAGCATCCCGCCGGGCAAATATGAACATCACAGGGAAACAGGTCTCCATTGGGAACAGTAAGCTCTACCGGTTCCAGGATTACACGATTATGTTTCTTTGTAGCAAGAAATGAGAGGTGACGAAGGATTACGTAAAACTTCAACGAGGGTTACTTTGTATTATGAAGCTGAAGGTGGGGTAATACTTGTGGCTATTTTACGCAATTTTCGATCATTTACTGATATAGAAATGATAGAAAGTGCATGTAGTAAATTTTGGTATTTTTGAATTTTTGGATCTTTGAATTTTTCAATCTTCAAATAGTTGCATCTTTGAATGTTTGAATTTTTGGACCTTTGAATCTTTGGATTCTTGAATTCTTGAATCTTTGAATCTTTGAATTTTTGAATCTTTGAATCTTTGAATCTTTGAATCTTTGAATCTTTGAATCTTTGAACCTTTGAACCTTTGAATCTTTGAATCTTTGAATCTTTGAATCTTTGAACCTTTGAATCCTTGAATCCTTGAATCTTTGAACCATTGAATCTTCGAACCATTGAATCTTCGAATCTCGGAATCTTTGAATCCCCGAATTTTCGAATTTCCTAATCCTTGAATCTCCGAATCTTTGAATCTCCGAATCTCCGAATCTCCGAATCTCCGAATCTCCGAATCTTTGAATCTTCGAATCTCCGAAACTTTGAATCTCCGAATCTCCGAATCTCCGAATCTTTGAATCCCCGAATCTTTGAATCTCCAAATCTTTGAATCCCCGAATCTCCGAATCTCCAAATTCGACTCCCCTAAACTTAATAACAGTCCATCGCAACCAACTTAAGAAACACCAAAAGTATCCACAAATGACCCAATTACTCTCAAGGCAATTCACCGCGAACCTCGCGATTCTGTAGCACGTCGATCTATAGTTTACGTGACATTTCAGAATGAATATGGCCGCGTGCACCGGGCAGGAGGGGGAGGACATCGTATGCGAGTCTCCGTACATATTTTGGGAGAACACCACGCGGCCGAGCCGGTCATGTACCGCCGTGGGCAACAATATTCATAACTAATAGATCGCCGGTCCGTGGGTGACAGAGCAATACGTCCTGCGTTTCGATGTTCCTGAGTCTGAGAGATCGAGCGAGCCCGCATGCGGGGTCGTGGCCGGATCCGTCGCTTGGTTAGGTTCGCTTTACACGGGCCGAGCATTCCGGGAAGTCCGCCTCGAACGACCATAAACAAGCCAACAGCCCTCTTTCTAACTCGCCCGTCTTTTCTTCACCTCACTTTTCACCGCTATTCGCGACCTCGTTTCCCCAATTTCTGCTTCAACCCTTACCTGTAGGAATTTGGTACTGTAAAGTTACTATAAGGTTAGATAGTTAAGATTCATAGTTAAGACTGTAAGATCAGCACTGTTACGATATGTTGCCCTGATTAAAGTAATCAACCTGAGAGGTTAGTTTAGTATATTGATGTAACAAGATCATGAGGTACATTGAACAAAATCAAGTTAAGATGTTTTGAAACAGTTCGATACTTGTTAGATATCGTTCAGACTGTGTCTTCGTTCAGACATTGATTTTCTGAAGTTACAAGACTTCTAAAAAGAAGCTGAAGATTTTGGAAAATTTCATTTTATATATACACTTCATAGACAAATTTTTAAAAAATCTCTTTTAGCATAATATCCAAAGTTTCAGACTTGTAATAGTAAGATTAATGTATCGAGTCCCCAGTGACATTTTTCTTTTATTTTAAAACTTACATGATTTTTGTAAATGTTATGAAAGACGAAACTTTCATATGGAATCATGTCTAAACTCACAAAGCAAAGGGATCTTTCAACGTCTCCATAATTTACACTTCTTACGATCAAAGGTCTATCTCAACCGCACAGAACAAACCAATGTAGCGTTACGTTTTGGCAACCATGATAGCAATAAATCACATTGCGGTTATGTTTGACCACTCATAAGGTTCAGGCTGTCGTGTTCACCACCCTTAAAACAGGCATCCTTTATACTTTCTCAATCTTTTATCATGTGAAAACATTCTTCACAACTTCTACAGTGTCCTTAGATCTCTACGCTGAAATAATTCTAAAGAGTCTTCTCTAAAAGTCTCCTCTCAAAAGTTGATCCTCTCTAAGACAATGTGATCCTCCGAGCTAAATGATCAGCAATATCCGAACTAAATACTCGATACTCGCGAATAAAAACCGGTTGCAATTCACCCTGCAACCCCATCGGAAAAAATCCAGAAATGATCGATCCCTTTGGTGTCACCGTCGCTCGTCAGACGGGAAGAAGAGGTGGAGTAACGTGGTCCGGCTAGTGGCCGGATAAAGAAAAAGAATATACGCCGCGTTGGCGGCGTCGAAGGACCCAGAAGAATCGGTAGAGAGACGGCGTTGGAGGTGGAGAAGCTCGGATGAAGGAGTAGAAGAAGAAGAAGAAGACGAAGACGATGCGGAGGAGGAGGAGCGGCGAGCGCGGGTCGCCATTAAGCGGACCCCCTGCCGCGTGGCCCGCGGCAACCCTTCACAAAAAACTGTAATTGGAAATACTTTTCCTCCTTTTTTCCTGAAATAATTTATGAATCTTCCACCGGTCAGCCAGCTAGGGCTGTGGCTGCTTCCAGACTTGGTTCCCTCGTTCCTCCAGGACTCGAAGACGACGAGGAACCGTTCGGGGAACACTTTCGTGAAGGAAACATCACGAGTTCCTTGTTTGAATGCCTGCCACCCCGACATTATTGTCGGGAGGGCGAATATGAACTGGATGTGGACATGTAACGCGTGGCGATATGTGGCGATGGGTTATGATGAGGTGTTGTAATCGGTGGATGTAGGGCAGATATGAGACAGAGAGGATATGAGACGATAGTGTGGAGATTATATTGTGTGGAGATTGTGACGTGTGGGGACTACAATGTGTGAAGATTACAGCATGTGAGAATTTTAATGTGTGGAGGTTAGAACGTATTTCATTGCGTAGTTCACAGCGTGTAGAGATTGTAACGCATGGAAATTACAACGCGTGATGATCACGATCCATAGCAATTATAATGCGTGGAGATTTCAACGCGTAACGAGTACAATGCATAGAGGTTACAACTCGAAGCTATACCACCTGTGACGACCTAATGCGTCGTAATTTAACGCGTGGAAATCTAACGCGTAGTAATCTAACGCGTGGAAATCTAACGCGTCGTAATCCAATGTGTCGTAATCTAACGTGTGGAAATTTAACGCGTAGTAATGTAACGTGTCGTAATCCAACGCGTGGAAATCTAACGCGTAGTAATCTAACGTGTCGTAATCTAACGCGTGGAAACCTTACGCGTAGTAATCCAACGTGTCGTAATCTAACGCGTGGAAATCTAACGCGTAGTAATCCAACGTGTCGTAATCTATCGCGTAGTAATCTAGCGAGTGGTAATCTACTATGTAATAATCCAACGCGTGGCAATCTATAACTAACCCTCCTCAAACTATAATTCTAAAGCCAACAGAAAGTACCCATTTGTCCCTAAGATCTATAACAAGAGGTGTTCTCGTCTATAACGAGAAGTGCTCTAAAATACAACAGAACTGTAAAAGCAGGTGGACAGGTGAGGGATAGAGAAGACACCTCATGGTGAGAAGATTCCATTGCTCTCTCTTTGAGGTCCTCTTTATTTTACGCGGAACTTTACGGCGTCGTTTGGACATTGCCGCTTTCAACGTCCTCTGATTGCTACCCTCAAGTCTTTTATTAACAGTGTCGATTGCTAACCGACCGTTTATTGGGAAAATCGGAGACTGTGGTAATTTTTTATGTCTGAGAAGGGAGATCCTCGTTTAGTTTCTATTCTTGAACTGCTACCAGGGTCCTAGCCTGATCGGTCCGTTTATGAGTGATTAATTACCCCTATAATCTTTTCAATTTCGAAAGACTTCTTCTTCAAATCCTTACAAATAACACTAATAAAAAATAAATATTTTTTCGTTAAGAATTTGTTTAAAAACAAATTATATAATGTTACAGGGAGTTTAAGGGATGATCACAAGAACAAGGAAACGCGTTTGAGTATATACGAGCAACTGAAAGAACAGAAGAAGCAAAAGTGGCCTCCTCTTATTTCGTTGCCGAAGACACCCCGCTGAGTGAGGGTGGAGGCGAGCCCTCTTTAAAGTATTACGAGAACCCTTACAGCAGCCTTCGGATGCCGTTATCAATTTGGGTGATTCTCAGGATTTATAATGAAGACGCAATGCTAGTGTTCGTCCTTGTTCGTTCTAATAGCTACCATCCGCCTCCGATACATCAGGGACGTTCAGAGATCTTCGTCATCGTCAGCTTTAATCCGCCAATCAGCGAACCGACCTCAGGTTTCGTGTTAGTAATTATGGTGCCACCCAGGATGCGGTCTATCGGAGTCGCCAAAGTGCCGATAATGAGGATGATCAAAAAGTATACAAATTTAGCTTTAGCTTCCTCAAGAATTACTGCTGGTATAAGCAGAGATTGTTTCATTAGTTTTGGACGAAACTTTGGGGTAAGTTTTATATTTGTAATGGAACAAAATTAAAAACACCTAGAACTAAAAAAATGCCAGACCTCAAATTCCCAAACTGCAAAATACCAAATTTCCAAAAATGACCGCAATCAAACTTACCTTATGAAGTGCCTCTGCATCAAGACTTCGAACCCTAACTTCACACCCACGCACCTCGAAGTAACATCATCGCACCTTCCGAGTAATATCGCATCATCCGATTGTCCCTAAGACCAGAGTTTCCCAATCTCCCGACAAACAAAGACGATCCAGGCGACTGTCGATCCGTAGTTCGAACCGATAGCTGGGCCCAGTTCATTAGCGATGGATTTCACGTCCAGCATCGAACGTGGCACAGGCCTTTCACCGTTTCGATAATGAGCATGCAAGAAAAGCTGAAGCCGTAGCCGGCACGATCGTCCTCGTTACGCCGAATGAAAGAGACCGTAGACGTAGTCCTCGCAGGAATGAGACACGACAGGTCGTCGGACGACCCTACGGCACGACCTCTATGCATCTAAATTGGCTGCGCCCCCATTCGTCATGCAGCGGCTCGCTTCCCCCATTGATCGCTCGCACACTTCGTGGGAAGTGCTGCCCGATCATCCTGCCTTTTTTGCATCTTCCTCCACGGCATATCCTTCGGGCGTTTCGAACGGTACACCCTGAGATCGTTGCGGTGTCCTCCTTTAACGCGTCGCGATTCGACCGCGATACTACTCTCTGCCCTCGAGTTCCTTGAACACGATTGGGTGTGAGTCTGATAGCTGATCGAAATTTGATCGCAAAGGTTACTTTCAACGTGATTCGTGTGTTCGCGAACTGCCTGTGAATTTGTATACCAGTGTGATTTGACTCTTCTGACATATGGTCTGACACATATGTGAATTTGACAGTTTTGTGCTTCTGTCAGAATGTTTAAGTTTTGCAAGTGTTCATTTCTCAAATTCTTCAATTTTTGTATTTCTGAATTATGGAATTTTTTGACATGGTCTCAGGTTTTAAAACAGTGAAGGGAAATACATATATAAGAAGACATTGAAATTGTGTATATAAATTTATTGTGAGCTTACTTGTTGGCACATGAAACTTGAATATATCTCTGTACTTAAACTACTACAGAAAATATCGTAGATCGCGTGTTGAGTGACAGTACGCGCATGCGCGAGTGCGGCCGCCGGACAGCGTACACTAAACGAGCGCGCAGCAAGCGAACGCACACTAACCTAACCATCATCACGATTCGTAAAATCAACAAAAAATATCCGTAAATGCAACGCGAATATTTACGAGTTCCAGCTTCCTATGACGTCAGCCCGCGGAAATCCATATATCAACCGTGTTAGTCCGAGACGATGAGTCCCAGCCGAGGATTGTTCAAAGGTGACCAGCAGGGGTCCGCGGCCTCTCACACGGAGTTATTCCGCTGGAAATTTGTGGTTTTCCTTAAACGGCAGCTTCCTCGTGTCTCACCCCTTTTCCACGGAAAGAAGAAAAAAATAGAACGTTATTAATCGTCGCGCTGAAAAGAGAGGCGCAGAGGGCAATACGCTCCTCTACCTGACACCAGAGGAGGATGCTCAGGTAGCCGGAGGATCCTTTGACCTTTCCACCGGCTGTCCTGCGGGATACGTCTCGTTCCTGTCCACCTTCTGTCTTTTCTCACCGAAAGAATTCCGCCAGCGGCCGA